TTTTTTAAAACAACAAACATGACGGATTAAACGGCTCAAACAACATTAATAATTTCTGGAAAATATATAACAACATGAAACAAATTGAAGAAATAATCAATTAAATTTCAATTTGAATCTAACAAACATCAAACTAACAAATATTTACCTAAACAACAAAACAAACATGAAATAAATATGAAAAATAAATTAATTAATTTCCATTTGAAAATCTGAAAATTAACATATAAACAAACTAGAAAATTATTTCAACGACGAACAAACCAAACAAGAATTGAATCATTTATCGATTTTGGATCCGAAAAATATCAAACAAAATTACAGACAATAAATGAGATTCAAAAACTACTAACCGGAGATTGTATGGACTGTTTCGACGAACCTCAAATGGGAATAAATCTGTCCGGACTCAACGACGAACTCAACGACGAGCTCGACCAAACGATGATTACCGAATCTAAGAAGTTAACTGAAGCACCGAGGAAACACTAGCAGCAGTTGATACAAAAAAGAAGCAGTTGGGGTACGTTCGACAGAAGAAGCAGCGATGGAACAGACACAGCAAAAGTGATGCTCGAGCAGCAAAATCCATGGACGAGAGAGCTGGACGCGAAGCTAATACTCGACAGCATCGTCGACGAAAGATGGCAGAACGGACTGGACGCGATGGCAGCGTTCGATGAGAGCTGGTCGCGACGGGGTTGTTTGGACGTGACTGAGTNTGCAGTAGCAGTTGTTGCTGTTTGACGTGGAAGGAGGGATCGTTTGGGCAAGATGGTGAGGAAGGCGATGATGCACCAGCAATGGTCGTCGGATGCAGGTGGTCGACGAATGAGAAGAACGCAGCAGCGGATGCTCGAGTTCCTACGAGGGGGGTTGACGACGAGGACGCAGACGAAGCCATGGGAGGCAGCCATGGATGGGATGTGAGGAAGCTTGGAGAAGAAGAAGCAAAGGGAAGGGGGGGGCGGACCACTTTTAGGTTTTTAGGGTTTTTCTTCTTTTTGTTTTCTTTTTGTGTTTTGAATGAAGAGGGGTGTTGGGTTAATGGGTTAATGGGGCGGACCGGGTCAACTCGGTCTGAAGTGGACTGGGTCATGGAGAGGATTGGACAATTTTTTAGGCTTTTGGCTCACAATTGAAGAAGTGGCCCAATCCGATTTTCTTTTGTATTTTTGTTATCTTTTTTTCTTTTATTTTTCTAAACTAAATTATAAAAATACTTAAATTATTATTAAGAACTAAATTAAGTTATAAAAGNGCGGACCGGGTCGACCCAGTTCGAAATGGACTGGGTCGTTTGGGAAGATTGGGCCATTTTTTGGGCTTGTGGCTTGAATTTGAAGAAGAGTCCCAATTCCGAATTTTGTATTTTGTTTTCTTTTTTTCTTTTTTTATTTTTCTAAAACTAAATTATAAAAATACTTAAATTATTATTAAGAACTAA